AGCAGGCGGATTCTTTACCACTGAGCCACCAGAGGAGCCCCAGGAGCTTTTCTTGATGAGCGGTTAGTTTCAAAACCAGTACAGCCCTACAGCTAACACAGATTCTTGGATGTGCAGAGGAGCCTGGGCCTGATTTGTCTTGCAGTGGTTGGGAGGCTAAGATGTTACTCTCTGCTGTTCATCTCAATAAGCAGCCACTGATGGCCTAATATGTGCCCAGGCTCAAGTCCTTGTGCATGAGGAACTCAGAGTCTTATGGGATGTGGAGATAAATATACAAATAACACTGTGTGATTAGCACTGATAAGTGTATACTTGGGCCACTAGTGGGCAGAGAAAGCCTCTATCCTGGCCTGGGGGAATGAAGGAAATGCTACCAGAACCTTAGAAGATGAAGGGTGTTCTACTTGAAAGGTAGAAGGGCATTACAGAAGAACCAGCAAAACAAAGAGCACGGCTGAAAACAAAAAAAAGAAACAAAAAACCAGCCTGGGTGTTTTTTGTTATTTCTTTTTTGAGGGGGGATGGGTGGAGCAGAGGTGGGGAGTACAGAAACTACAGGCAGTTCCCTTTTGTAGAAGCCTGTTAGGAGCAAGATGGGGCTAAATACCGAGGAGGGACTGTGGGGGTAGGGAGACTTATATGCTGGGGAAGGAATTTTGGCCTTTCCCCTTTAGACAGTGGGGAGGCCTGATTTATAAACTGTAACACAATCACCATTCCTCCAGCCTGGGGAGGGGCACCAGCTGGGAATAGTTTCCACTCTGGGCCCCCAGCAGGTGCAAGTCTTCTCAGTGACTCTGTCTCCACTGGGGCAGAGAGAAGGGAGGAGGAAGCAGGCAGGCCCACCCCCACCCCCACCCCCACCCCCACCCCAGGCCTGCCTCCTGCAGCTGTTTTATGCCCTGTGCACCCCTGGAGCTCTGAGGCCCATCAGCTCCCTGGATGTGAAAAGAAGGGCTGCAGAGGCAGCCTGTTTTAAAAGCGAGACTACCTCACAAGCCCATGTTGCCACGCGGAGAGAAAACAATTATCTAACCGTAAAATCTGGTCCCATAAACACCTTTTCAAAGAAAAAGTTATCATTCTGTAAGAGCTAACCTTCCTAACCACCTTAGTAGAAGGTATTGTTATCCCCATGTGAGCGGTGACAAAATTGAGACCCAGAAGGTCGAATAACTTGCCCAAGGTCACACAGACAATAAAAGGCAAAACCCATACTGAAACCCAGGTTAAGACCTTAGAACTGCAAAGAGTCTGGTGCCCCCAACCTTAATGCAGAATTCAAAATAAGAGATCTAAATTGCAAAGTAAGTGTCAGGAAGCCAAAGCAGTTTTGACCTTTCTTCCCCCAAAGCGATTCCTTGATGTTTTCTAACAACATAAATTATTTTTTAATTTGTATTTTCTCATTCTTTAACACGCACACTTAGTAATTCTTTAACTAAGTTAGAATTTCTCACATTCATAGGGTCTAAAGTCTAGAAACTGTCCTTCTGCCAAGCTGCCTCTCACAAAATTTTTCAAGCAGTTTCATAAAACTTTGACATACTAAAATGTAAAGCATTTTTAAATAAAACAAACAAACAAACCAGCAAACAGCTCAAAACTGTTTTTTTTCACCATTTCGATCTCATGAGTTCCAAATCAATACGAATGGCTCTTGGGTCCATCTATGTCTCCAGGCTAGAAATGTTTTTTTTTTTAACCCCAAGCTTAACTCCATTCCCCTCCTACTCCCACGAGGCTCTTTAATCCATTTTCCACACCACAGTGATCTGGTTTCCAAATGTGCTTTCATTCTCCCGCTCAAAACCCATGGTGACTCTACATGACCCACAAGATAAAACCCCAATCTTGAGACACCCCCCACCCCAGCCGCCCCCTCCCTCTACCTCTCTGGGACTCCTACTTCCCTTTCTTGCTCACAGCAATGAGCAGTACACTGTGAGATTTTAGTGAGAACATTAAATGAAAATACAAATCACCAGTCAATTATGAAACTTCTTCCCCATTAGACCACCTACCCCAAGCCTGGGATGGAGGGAAAATGTTGGAGATAGTTGCCTGCTGGCTAGAAGACAGGGTAATGATCTTGCTTGCTCAGACCAGAGCATGAAAACCCCTTTTCAAACCTTGCCTCAAAGGTTGCACAAAAGTGAGAAACCAAACAATGCTTTTATCAACCTATCCCTTACCATAGTAACCTGGATATGCAATGGCCTTGGACCTTGCTGGACAATATATTATTATTTGCAGTTAATAACTTTTGTGAAATATAACATTTGGATACTGTTAATTCTACTCCATTGTTCCCAGCCCCATCTCAGTATGTGATCCAAAGAAGACTAGCATCATGGGTCCCATGCAGGAACTGGTCCATAAGAAATAACCCAGCATATCTGACACCAAAAATCAAGTTAACCCAATTTTTCAAGATTACAAAACACACTAATCAACTGAAAAGATGTGATTCTTAAAAAATGGTTAAACAACGCTATTGGGCTGAATGAAGTATGCTGGTAGGTGATAAAGGATATAGTGAGGGATAACTGTTTCTTCTACTCTGCTCCAAACTGCATTTCATGAGACCATAAAACTTTAAATCCTGCATTAAAAAAAAAAAATTGTTTACAGTTTTTTAAAAATTGTGGTTGTTTAGTCACTAAGTCATGTCTGACTCTTTTGCAACCCCATGGACCATAGCCTGCCAGGCTCCTCTGTCCTTGAGGTTTCCCAGGCAAGAATACTGGAGCGGGTTGCCATTTCCTCCTCCAGGGGATCTTCCTGACCCAGGGATGGAATCTGTGTCTCCTGCATTGCATGTAGATTCTTTACCACTGAGCCACCAGGGAAGCCCGATTGTGGCAAAATACACATTAACATAATTTAGCCATGTTAAAATATACAATTCCGTAGTGTTAAGTACATTCACATTTTTGCTCAGGTTTATATCCAGAACTTTTCATCTTCAAAATCTAAACAGTATTACTCATTAAACAACTCCCTTCTTCCCCCACCTCCTAACACATGGCAACCACCCTTCTACTTTTTAAAATACCTCATCTAAGTGGAATCATACAGTACTTATTTTTGTGATGGGCTTATTTTTCTTAGCATAATGTCAAAGTTCATCCATTTTATAGCATGTCAGAATTCGCTTCAAGGCTGAGTAACATTCCATTGCACATATATACATTTTGTCTGTCTATTCACCCATTTATAAACATTGGGTTGCTTCTGCCTTCTGTGAATGCTGCTATAAACATGGGTGTACAAGTATTTCTTGGAGACCCAGCTATCAATACTTTTCAGATATATATGCAGAAGTGGAATTACTGGACCATATGGTAATTCTACGTTTAATTTTTTGAGAAACTGCCATATTGTTTTCAATATGCAGTAGTGGTTGCACTATTTTATATTCCCACTAACAAAGTATGAAGCTTTCACTTTCTCCACATACTCTCCAACACACGTTTTTCCTTTTTTTTGGTAAGAGCCACACTGACAGGTATGAGGTAATTATCTCATTGTGGTTTTGATTTGCATTCCCCTAATGACTGGTGATGTTGAGAATTCTTTATATGCTTGTTGGTCTACACCATTTATCCTAACCACAACAAAAATTACTTTATATTTTAAAACTAAAGTCACTCTTTAAAGCTTCTCTGCTCTTGGGAGAGTCTCTTATATCAACTTGAGAAGCAAGAAGGCTGTGCTTACAAGTACCTTCATACAGCATGCCTTCCTTCTAAAACAGCTGCAAAATTGAAAGCCCTAAAACCTTAAGTGATGACAGAAATAAGGACCATGTCATCAGCAGAAAAATGACAAGCTCGCCCCCTAGTGTCAAGTAAGGAAGAGAATAGAAAATGCAAATATTCTTAAAAGGCACAAAGAAAATCACTTCTCTGCTACCAAGAATCTGGAGAGAATACCACAAACTACTAATCAATCAGGGCTTACCACGTGGAGCTAGTGGTAAAGAGCCCAGCCGCCAGTGCAGGAAACATCAGAGACTCGGGTTCAATCCTTGGATCAGGAAGATCCCCCAGGGATAGAACCCACATCTCTTGTGCCTGGAGTAGGGCTTGGCAACCCACTCCAGTATTCTTGCCTGGAGAATCCCCATGGACAGAGGAGCCTAGGGGGCTACAGTCCCTAGGGTAATAAAGAGTCAGACACGACTGAAGCGACTTAGCAGGCACACACTAACCAATTGAGATAGTTTATTCACAGGAACAGTGGAAAAGGTTCAGTTCTGAGGGACAAAATGTATCATCAATCCCTTGCTTACAAATTTCTAGGTTAAGTTATTTTATTAATAGTACCAAATGAGTGGCCTGAGGATGTTATTTTTAACATGTGAATGTCTCCACTAAAGGAACTTTTCTGTTATACCGTCTGGAGCAACTCAGAAGCATAATGACTTTTATCTTTACATCACACATAACTCCCAATCTCTGAATTTATTGAAAAATCTGACTCTAAAAACAAAAATGCAGCCCACCCCAATGATTACATAAGTCAGCAGGTGGCAGTCCTGACTATTTAACTGTTCTTAGTTCCTTAAACCCGTTATTATGTAAATCAAGATACTTTGATTTTTTAAGCTCTCCCAACTAAAATAATGGTGATGATGGTGATTCCTTCAGGTCCTGTGGCTATTAATTTTTCCAGTTTCCTGTTCTGTCTCTCCTTCCCACCCCCATAATCTTTATGGCTCACTAGTCTGCTGTTTTTCACAGAACAGGAAGAGAGTTTGAGAACCAAGATCTTAAAAATGTGGATCACACCAGATAAACAAATATTGACCAAAATAAACATTTCAGACTACATCTGAGCAGGTGACACCGGGGGGCAATGGGTCTATGTAATCAGAGTTACTGATATTAAACACCAAGTCTTTCTTCTCCAACAAGTCGACCTTCAAGGGCTCCATCAGAAATAGGAGGTGCCAGCATCAAGCTGTCTGTAGCATGGGAGGGTGGACCACCCTACCCAAATGTTAAAGGCTGGACATTTTTCTGCTGTTCTTTGTGCAGCTGCCGGGCCCGATTTTTTAGTTCCTCAGCCTTAGCTTCGTCCTTATTGACACCATCCCCAAGCTTGTACATGCGGCTGGCATTAGCACAGGCCCAAACATGGCCCAAGTCACAGGCTTTCATTGAGTATTTGCATGCCAGGCCCATGTCCTTTGGAAAGCTGGGGGCACCCTGCAGGAACATGGCGCTGAGGTTGAAACAGCTAGCGGCATAGTTGCCATCACAGGCCCTTGTGTAGTAGTCTCTGGCCCTCTCCAGATTGGGCTGGCCATCCTCATTGACCTGTCCATCATGTGCCAGGAGACCAACATTGTGGCAGGCTTCAGTGGACTTCTTTCCTGGCTTCTCACACGCCATCAGAAAGCAGTTGGAGGCAGCTTTCAGATCCTGGGATAGTCCACCTGGGAAGAAAGAAAAAAACGTCAATCCAAGCCAGGACAGAACCCGAATGTCTCAGGCCAAAGTCAGGAAGCAATTACCAAATAAAGTTTATATACTTTGAGCTAAGGCAACATGAAAAGAAGATGGCCTGGTATAGTACACAGACCTTACAGCTTTTTCAGCCATGGAATCTTCAGCTCAAATAGTATCTTATAAGGAAGCCCAAAAAGGTAAAAAGGGTGAAATGATTAGTTTCTCAGCCTTAGCTTCATCCTTATTGGAAAAGATATTTACCTCTGGGGATAACAGCAAGATCACGGCATCTTATGAGCACTTTGTCAAATGTTTAATTTAAATATATACTGAATATATATTAATTGCCATTTACTATGCTAGATTCTAAGGAATAAACAGATACTGACCGTGCCCTTGTGAATTTTGTGGTCTAATAAGACAGACATTAAACACCATACAAGTAAATGTATTATTCTAAGTGTGACAAGCATATGGAGAAAGAGTATAGGATGCTACGAGAATGATCAAGGCTCTGAACTAAGAGGTGAGGTAAAGGAAAGTTTCTCCAAAGAAGTGACATTTGAGCTGTGAAATAATGGAAAAAACAATGAAAAGAAAAATATGGAGTGGGGGGAAAAAATGGCAAAGAAAACTGTTCCCGGCAGCAGGAACAGAATACAAAGAGAAAAGGAGCCCATGTGCTAGAACTCAGAAATCACTAAAGAAGGCTGGTGAGGCAGGCAGGGGCCAGCTCATTCAGGGTCTGATGGGTCTTCTTAAGGACCCTGTACTTTAACCCTGGAGCAATGGAAAACTGCTAATCAATCATTTTAAGCAGAGGTGGTGACGGGGCCTGCTTTTTTCTTTAGTTTTTTTTGTTTGTTTGTTTTAATGGAACATTTCAAATCCCCCATTCTCAAAATCCCTCATTCCTAAAAAAAAAAGAGAAACATATCTCAACATTAGTTTTTAAAGAAGTCATCCCAAATACACCACCTAGAAAAAACCATCATTAAGAGAACATCATTCCAGTCATCTTCATAGCAAGTGTTTGAATTAAATGTTGGCTGGCTGAATGGACAGCTAGATATAAGTACAGTTGACTCTTAAAAGTTGTGAGAGGCACCCACTCTCCATGCAGCCAAAAATCCGAGAATAGCTTAAGAGTCAACCTTCCCTAAATGTGCCCCTGGTGCACCCACAGACTAAACCAACAGGGGATAGAAATCATGGAGTGTTACCATTGTATTTATTGTTGAAAAAATCCACATGGAAGTGAACCTGCATCATTCAAACCTGTGTTGTTTGAGGGTCAACTGCACTTTGAAAAACCAGATTACACCTGCTGGTTGAAAATAAAAAATTTAACTTTGACTTTACTTGGATTTATTTATTTATTTAAAATCACCGGGTTTTGGGGGGGGGCGGGGCTGGGGCGGGGGAGTATTTCATGGCGGCCCCTGCAGCGGAAGCACAGAGTCCTAACCACTGGACGGCCAGGAGATTCCGTTATTATTTTGTTTTAACCAAATCTCAGACAGTATTGACTCACAACTACAAAAGGGGAGTTCTCATACTTCTCCCCACCTCTCTTCTCCTGCCTTCCACTTTTTGTTAGATACGTTATTTCAACTCAGGGAGATACAGGAAACAGAGGTTAATGAAGCCTGAGCTCTGCTGCCAGAAAACTGAGGCTCCAGTCCTGGCTCCATCATTTGGAAAACTTATACTATTATTTCTTCAAACATTTTTTTCTGTCCCAATCTATTTTCTTTCTGGGCTCCAATACATGCTGTGCCAGGTTAAGGGACACTGAAACCTACGTGTTGAGACTCTGAAGGTTGGGAAATTTTTCCGCTTTTTTGTCTCAGGGCTTCAGTTTAAGAGAACATCTACAATCCTCTAAGTTCACTGATCATTCAGATTCATTGTTTATTTCCTTCTGAAGTGTTCTACTTGCTGTTAAGCCTATCCAGTGAATTTTTCATTTCAAATATTATATTTTTCAATCATATGAGTTCATTTGATTCTTCTTAATAGTTTCAGTTTCTCTGATGAGATTGCCCATCTGTTCATTTCATTGTGCACATCTTTTGTTTAACTTCTTTAACATATTTATTTCCCTGTTTAAAAATGTTTTGACTGTGAATTCCAACATTCCTGTCACATCTGGGTCTGTTTCTATTGACTGATTTTTTTTTTTCCTGTTTAGTAATTCCTTATTTTTGGACTTTGTAGATGATACTTTATTCAGTCTGGGTTTTGCTATATTCCTTTACAAATTACTATATTCTGGTTTCTCTTCATATCACATAAATCTCTCACCTTTTACCAAAGACTGCTGAGTTTTGTTTTGGCAGGTAACTATTCACTGGTGAATCAGCCTGATCTTCCAGGAGCCTCAGTGGCCAGAAACTCTGACCTATGCCTCATCCATTCAGCAAGAACACCATAATCTACTTGGCTTCTACCTCTTTCTGCCTAGTCTGGAAAGTACCTCCAGGCAGAAGGCCAAAGCATGGGGCTCGTCCTGTGTCCCCTTTTCTCAAGGCTCACACTGCTGCACTGAGTTACCTTCCAGTGTCTAAACAGCTGCTTCATATATTTTATGGAATCCATGGTTTATATCCTTAGAAGTTCATTTTAGTTGCCTTATGGAAAGATGATTAGAGACCTGAATTAATGATACAGGAAAGAAAGGTGGCTTGAATAAATATAATAGCAGGAAAGGGAGAGAGGATAGATTTGAGACGTATTTTAAAGGCAAACTGGTCATGAGCTACTCAGTAGGGAGAAACACCACTTGCTAAACTGAAAGACAAAAGGGGTGTAATAATTTGAGAGAAAACAATTAAGAATTTCATGGAAGAACAAGATGGCGGAGGAGTAGATGGACGTGGAGTACATCTCTCTGCACGGACACATCGGGAACACACCTTCAGACACAGAAGTGCATACAGAACACTAGTTGAAAGCGGACAGGAGTTCTTGACCAGAGGAAAAGTACAGAACCATGCAAAACTTGGTGGGAGAAGGAACTAGGGGGAAAAAGAGGAGTGTCAGTAGGACTGGACCTGCCCTCGGCAGGTGGGAGAACTGAAGCAAGGGTCCAAGCCCCACATCAGGTCACTTGTCTGAGCCAGAGGAGAAACATTTAAGGCTGAAAGTGAAACAGCTGATCTGTGGCAGCCTAAATGGAATGAGAATCAGACAGTCCTTGCCGCAGTCATACATACTCCAGACAGGGATGCAGGTCCCCCAAAAGGCACAGTGGCTGGGAGCTGGAGTTTAGGGATTTTGGAGCAACCCCAGGGCGAGGGCTGCTGTTGGCTGCGGAGAGACGGATTGAAGGGATGTGAGGGAGGAGATTGTGGTGGGAAATGTCTGTAGAGGAAAGCTGGGCAGCCAAGGAAGCAAGGCGATACTGCTGAGTCACGCCTAGGGGGTGGAGCCATCACCATAGCCTCTCTCCACAGGCCAGCATCCGCAGCTGAACAAGAGAGAGGCTGGCCCATCAAACGCCTGATGCACTGAACTACAGGGCAGGCCCCCACCGAGGGTGCCCCTTTAAGTGCCTGATGCACTGAACTACAGAGTAGGAACCCCCCCACCCAGGGTGCCCCTTTAAGTGACTGAGGCACCTGAACTACAGAGTAGGACCCCCCCACCGAGGGTGCCCCTTTAAGTGCCTGATGCACTGAACTACAGAGTAGGACCCCACCCAGGGTGCCCCTTTAAGTGACTGAGGCACCTGAACTACAGAATAGGACCCCACCTAGGGTGGCCCTTTAAGTGCCTGATGCGTGGAACAACAGAGAAGGACCTCAGGCAAGGAAGTCCTCTAAGCTCCCAAATAGGCAGAGCTACGGAGAAAGACTGGCCAAAGAGGCCTTCTGATCGCCAGCTACAAGAGGCTCACAAAAAGTTTCCGGTAAGTTGATGCCTGCTGCTGAAGCAGTCCAAGACCCTGCACGCTTAGCGCCGCCAGGGTCCCCGCAAGCCAAGCAGCTGCACCACCTTCATGCTCAACTCTCACTGGGGCAGAGCTGCCACAGGCAAAAAAAGTTTTGCATCTATGCATGCAGGGTTGCTTCTGTTAGGTCTGACTCTTTCCGACCCTGTAACCTGTGGCCTCCCAGGCTCCTCTGTCAGGGAGGGGGCTCTCCAGGCAAGAATACTGGAGCCGTACTGGCCAATACTGGTTGCCACACCCTTCTAGAGCACTATATTTCCTGCTGCCCTAGCTGCCAACTCCCCTGAGTACCTGGTGCTGCCAGAACCCCTGCGACCCAAGAAGCTGCACCACCTCCACACATGGTTCTCACAGGGACAAACCCAAGTCCTCCAGGGCAGCCTCAGGAGCAAACCCCAGTGGATGACCCACATGCAGAGGTGGCAATAAAACCACAATTGAAACCCAGGAGCAGTATGGATAAGGAATAACACCCAAAACCCTCCCAACAGCTGTACAAGCTGCAGACTAAATCCACACGATCAACTAGGCAGACTCTGTGTCTATGGAATATATAAAATGTCACTGAGAGCTCCCACAGAAGAAAACGTACTAGTTCTGATAGCTGTGGACATTGGAGGCAAGAACACACAGGGGTAGGACCAGATCAGACTCTGAGCTGCCCCCACAGCAAGTCCAGAGATCAGCACAGTGTTGGAGGGCATCCTAGGGAGGTGAGGTGGACTGTGACTCCCAGTGAGGGAAAGGACTCTGACAACAGTGACTCAAGAAAAACATTTATTATTCTTACGTTTTGACTTGTTCTGTAGCTTCTTTTTTTTTTTTTTAATCCAATAGCATTGACTTTTATTCATTCATGTTAAGTCACCTGAAATGGTATCTGTTGCATTTAAATGCTCATTAATGTAAATGGCTGAACAAATCCATTTTAATGGATATTCAATCCATTAAAAAAACTCAATATCCCACATAATTAAAGTCACTTCAACATAGCCTCATGACAACTCCCACACCAAAACAGTACTTTATTTT